GAATTGGCAACACGTCCCGCTTGTATCAAGCCATTAAGAACAGTTTTTTAAATAAAAAAGGAATCTCGAGAGCAGTGAAGATGGGTGTATACAAGACAGTATTCATACCGACGTTGATTTTTCGCTGTGAAAGTTTGGTATTAACTAAAAGATTGAACAGTAAGATCCAAAGAATGGAGGTGTTATATCTACGAAGAGTACTTGAGGTAACAAGGAAAGATAGACTATGGAACAGCTTTATAAGAGAGGAACTTAAAGTAGTTGGTTCTGAATAAAATTGAGCAATGTCAGCTTAGGTGGTATGGACATTTGATTAGAATGAATAACGACATACCAGTAAAAGGCGTGTGGGAAGCTAAAATGCAGGGAAAGAGATCAAGGGGAAGACCAACTAAAACATGGAATGACACAATAGAGAAGATAGTGCAGGATAGAGGACTAACATTAACAGAAGCCAAAAGTTTAGCAAGAGACAAAAATAAATCGAAACAATTTGTAAATAGTGTAGCAATTTAGTGAATTTGTTTAATTTAGTATACCTTACACCTTCGGGTAGAAAGGTTTTTGATTATATATACAGGGTTGTTCACCACATACGACACGGAGTATTGTAGCTAAACCATTATATTTTTACAAATTTCAAGTTTTGGGTTCGATGAAGGACTATTAGAGGTACAATTTAAAAATAATTTTACAAGATACAGAGTATCCCAAATAAGTAAAAAATATCAAAGTTGTATTTTTTTAAATGGAACACCCTGTATATTATTTCATTTTTAGTTTCTACGATTAAAATAAAGGTAAATTTGATTAAGGTTTATTATACTTAAACTATACCGTTTTTGAAATATTTTCAATTTTGGGAAATTGCAGTAAAAATTTTAAGGCTTCATTTCTCCAAGGGTATCAAAGTTTTTAATACTAAATATTTACTGAAGTTTATTTATTGATCAGTTATTGAGTTGCAATAATAAAAATAATACTACCTTATACAGAGTGTCTAAAATTTATTTTAAATAATTTCTAGTTTTAAACGCCAATAACTTCTTTAATTTAAATGGGACGCCCTATATATTTTAGGAGAATCAGATGCACAATTTAATTGTCTATCAAATTGTATTATACCATCTTTTACCTATCCCTTCAAGTTTTCGTAGAAAATGCATTTTCTTATAATTTAGACCCTATTTATCAATATACCCATGGAATATTGACATTTTAGACTGTTTTTAAAGCAACAAATGTACAAAATGTACAGGCTAGTAATATTATCGTTTTTAGCAAAACGATAATATTACTAGCCCATTTGTATGCAAAAAGAAAACTATATAAATCTTTATAAAAGAGTATACCATTAATTAAATATAACACCATTATTTCCGCCCATATACTAATTAATTACATACTTAATTGTGTTCGTTAATAAATTATTCTAAATAAATGTGGATTTGAGTCAGAAATCAATATAATAATAAGTTATCAAAATTAAAGTCTCTGTTGTTATAAATAAGTATTTATTAAAAATGAAATATCATTTTTAAGGTGTTTCTTTTATCACACTGTCTAATACCCATATAAAATTCAGTTTTTTAGTATTTGGAGCAATTATTATTAATCAACGCAAACAGTCAGTTAATGTAGTTTGAATACTGGAATCATAATTGGTCCCCTTTAACAAATATTTAAACAGTTTTTTTTTTATTTTTTAATAAAATAAACAAATTATATCGACAATATTAGTATCTGTACTCTTTAAAAATTTGGTACATCTAAAAATAATCTAAAATGTCAATATTCCATGGGTATATTGATAAATAAGTTCTAAATTACAAGAAAATGCATTTTCTACGGAAACTTAAAAAGATAGGTAAAAAATGGTATAATATAATTTGATAGACAATTAAATTATGCATCTGATTCTCGTAAATATACAAGGTGTTCCGTTTAAATTGAACAAGTTATTGCCGTTTGAAGCTAATAATTATTTAAAATAAATTTTAAGGCACTTAATAAGGTAGTTTTATTTTTATTATTGCAACAAAATAACTGATCAATAAATAAACTTCAGTAAATATTTAGTATTAAAAACTTTGATACCCTTGGAGAAATGAAGCCTTAAAATTTTTACTGCAATTCCACAAAATTGAAAATATTTCAAAAACGGTAAGGTTTAAGTATAATAAACCTTAATCAAATTTACCTTTATTTTAATCGTAGAAACTAAAAATGAAATAATATACAGGGTGTTCCATTTAAAAAAATACAACTTTGATATTTTTTACTTATTTGGGACACTCAGTATCTTGTAAAATTATTTTTAAATTGTACCTCTAATAGTCATCGAACTTCATCGAACCCAAAACTTACAATTTGTAAAAATCTCATCGTTTAGCTACAATACCCGTCTCGTATGTGGTGAACAACCCTGTATATCTTGAACAAGCTACTGGTATTGTATACAGAGAATTTCTCTGAGTGTAGTACTTGACAGTCTGTTCACGAAACAGATTAAAAAGCACGGTACGACCGAGGTACTCGTACGAAAGTAATCTTCGATGTTTATTCGGCAATATCTCGGTTTCTTGCGCCGGATGGAGCATACGTGAAGTCTTAATTAAAAGCTTATTTTTTCCTCTTGAAAATAGGGATTTGCAAATGTGCGCATTGGCACTAATTAGAGGAGGAATGGCAGTGGGTTGGTTTGGTGGGAAAATAACCCGAACACTATGAAACTCTACGCTTTTCTCGTTAGGTGTCGGTGTGGTGCCAGTTATGGAGTTCCATGCTGGTTATTTATGGTACTGCTTATTTATCGTTTTTCTAGAGTGTTTGCGTTTAGACTTAGATGATAATTTATGGATATAAATTGTAATAACGCTGAAACTTTGCTAGGAAAATGTTTTCCTGATTGATGTTGAAACTATGAAAAGCATATTAAATTAGTTTGGTCATAAAATTGTCTTTTTTTTATTTAGATCGATTAGTACAGTAGGGTTAGTTGAAGTAATAGTAAACGATTTTAATAGAAAATTTGTGTTTGCACTGAAAATTCTAAAAGGGTCTGGTGCGACTCAATTTGACTGCATTTTCAAGCTCCAGAAGAGAGCTGTTCGATAATCACTGGGACTAAACAGTCAGAACTCATTGCCAGGACTTTTTTAAAAAATTAAAAATATTAACTCTTCCTCCCTTATTTATATTTGAATCCGTTTGCCTAATACGTAAACATGTATCAGCTTCTCAAGAAAGACCATCTCACACTTATCCACTCAGGAACGCGGAGCAAGATCTGTATCTACCTACCCCACGCTCAGAGTTAGTTAAAAGTTCAATATTATACAGCTCGAAAAAAATGCACAGTCACCTGCCATTTGAAATCAAATCCATAACATCATTTTCTTCATTTCGCAAAGCATTGAAATCTTATTTACCAGACCAGGCTTTCTATGGCGTAAATGACTTATATTTTGATAATCGAATTTGATCTTGTAAACACTGGTCTAATATTTGCTATTACTATATTTACTATAAACTTTCTAAATATTTTTTAATCTTATTTTTATTTTTTTTATTCTTTGATATTGTAAACATTTACAAATGTTTATTTTAAACATTAAGACTGACGATGAAATTTGTATACTTGTTTTGTATTCTCTTTTGTTTGTTTACTTTACCTTTGTCTACAAATTGTAAAATTTTTTGACATTAAAAGCATTTGTTTATTTATTTAAGACACTTTACTTAATAGGTGCTTTCATAGACAGCCAGAAATTCGCAATATATTGTGACATAAACTTTCCTTTTATTGAAAATTTAAGTCAAAATATTGCGAACGGCTACTCTTATATCGGAGGCGGTGGGAACAAGCTTTTGCTTCTGCACTTGACTAAAAAAATGATACCCACCTATACCTTACACTGCATACCAAAGGGCGCCACTTATTTCAAAAAGATGCTGATACTTACAAAGGATAGTACAAACTGAAATAAGAAAATTTGTACAAGTGTATTAATTAAATAGAAACTAAAATTAGTATAGCTATTAAATATTTTGAGAGACCGGATCAACCAATGAAACAATTCAAATACCCAAAAAAATAAGATTTATTATTTGTTAGAAATATTCGGTACCTATTCGGCACAGCAGTTATGTACATTAATATACAAGAATTATATTTAAGAAACTCTATCTTAAAACTTGTTTAAAATCAAATTATATCTTTTCAAATATTATTCAAACAATTATAATATAAAAAGAATTCTTTTAGAGACGGTCTTGGTTTTATTCGAATATTAAATATCTAAATTTCAATTGACTTATTACGAAGATTCATGAACCTTTTTGTTTATATATAGTTAAGGGAAAAAGTTTAAAAGCTGTATCCAAGATTGCCCTTACAGGTCAAAGATCGTAATGCTATAAAAGGTTAACATAAATAGATGTTAAATATGAATAATCAATCAATATAACATGATTATTTTAATAATCAAATACAAGTAAAATTTAAGCAATGCTCAAGGCAAATACTTAAGTGTTAAAAAAAAAATAAAATGTAACAGAATGTTAAATTTTATAAATTAAGGGTTAAAGTAATGCTGAAGGCAAGTACTTAACGAGTTGAATGTAAACTGCTAAGAATAGTTAATTTCTTAACACACTAATGATTATTTAAAATCAAATTAATAAAATTTTAGTTTACTATAAAAAATATACTGGCCTTGTATACCAAATTATACTAAAAAAGGATCTTCTTAATAATACAAAAACATCACAGCATCCAACTTCTCCTCAGAGGGGTGCAGGGCTGAAATCTAACCGAAGAGGCTGCTACTGATTACTTCGGCGACTGAACACGTAAGAAAAACTTGTAGAAAAACTTGGCGAAAAATTTCTAGACACAAGTGTAGAAAAAACTGTAGAGAAAATGTCTAGAAAAATGTCTAGAAATACTTGCAGAAAAAAATCCAAAGAAAAACGTTGAGAAAAATACTTAGAAAAAATCTGTAGAAAAACCTAAAAAGAAATGCACGGTATTAGTTAACCTTACATTTTAAAAACTCTCGAAAATTTACGAAGGTATTAATTTACCTCATTGTGAAGGCACACAATCAATAATTATTTAACATTTCTTCTCAAATAAGGGCTGGACACTTCTCATCAAAAAACTGGAATCTAAAAGAAAGGCATGTGAAGGTTTTTTCTAACGAATGGAATGTCAAAGAAAATCTTACCAAAACTATAGATCCACTAAAATCTCAATAATCAAAAACTATATGGGACCTTCAACCATCTATAGGATAACAAAATCACAATATTTTTCCCATATTGTGGAAAATACCAGCCAAATAAATTTAATTCTCAAAATGGCACAGTGACCTCGACAACGGCCAAATCCGAGGTGACGATTTTGACGTTTCCCGTCTTGTCGATACACCAGGGTACAATCCAATATTTTCGATGGAGAGCGTTCCGAAATTTAAGCGTTGTAGAAATGTAAAAAGAATATCGATATAATAATAAGAATCCGTCTATAATAAAACAAAGTAGCATTTGGAAAATGAAAATGCTACAATATTCCAAAAAAAAACTAGTTTATATTTTCCCAATAGAATTTTGTCATATTTTGGGGTAAATGTAAAAATATTCTTTACTGTGCTATAAGAGGTAGGAGGTTGTAAATGGGGATAATAATGAACAAAGAACTATACAAAGTTGCTTTTAGTTGGATTATAAGTGTGTTTAAAGAATGTTTACAATGTATACACCTAATGTGTTCGATAAATACTGAAAGTAATGCTTAATATTGTTAACGCCCCTCAGATGAATTAATTCAAATTTAAAGTTAACAAACGAGAAGATTGTTTTTAATTTTAAATATCCCGCCCTTGAATTGCTGAAAGGGTGGAAATTACGTCCCAATCTCGCCTAATGAAATATTCCAGTCCGGTTTTTAGTGTGCGGATTTTGTTTTAGTAGCGTGCCGAAAATAAGGCCGATAAAAAGAGATGAACGCGGAATATACGCCGGAAAATGGCTATTGTGTTTTTCTTATTGCGCTTTCTTCGCGCGGTTTTCCTTGATATACAGCGGAAACGTGCTCGGGAAAATAAACGCGCTGAGGGAAATTAGGGCGGTGAAAATGCCGCGAAGAAATTGCTACATTTTCCATGTTTATTTTCACTATTGTAAAATAGAAATGTAAAAAAGAAAGGAAATTAGAAATCTAGATTTCTTTTTTGATATTATATTCTTTTATTAAGCAAGAGTAACGATATACAGGGTGGTCCGAACTGTATTCCGGAAACTTCGGCAGCATATTCTGATTCAGATAAAAACTAAGTAAAAAGTTCGTATAAATGTATGTCCTAAAATATTGAGTTTCGGAGATACAGGGTGTAGAAGTTTCATTTTTATTTCGATTTTTTTTCAAATAATTTCTGAAGTAACGTCAATATCGGCGACTTGAAATAATAATTGACATGTTCAAGCATTTTATTATTGATAATAAAATCTGTTCATTAAAACGTTGTATCCTATGTTATAGGGCTTGTTTCTCTCTACAATTTCCTGTCTCACAATGTACCGTTTGTGTCCAGGAAGGGATCACAGTTTCATAGTTCTCAATTTTCGAAAGAAATCGGTATATGTATGTTATAATATTAATTTCTATGTTTCATATAATTAATTTATTCGTAGAATAAACGTACAAAGAAATATCGTTCCAAATTTTTATGCACAACGAAGTGGCCAGGTATAAGCTAGTATTAAAATTTCCAAATAAACGCTAACTACAGACATATAAAATGATAGAAGTCATTCTTTTAACTTGTTTTAAACCATTTAAACCTCACAGAGAAAACCTTCATTAAAATTTATCACAAATCTACCCTCTATTACCCTTACAATCATCCCCCATATAGCCTCAATCTACTAAAGCAGTAAATTTTAATTTGTTCCAGGTGACTCGCGATGGCCCGTCCATTCCGGCTTGTGGACGCCGCTCGTCGAGCGTCGGGTATGCAGTCCAGCGTCGCGACGCGCAGTGCATAGCGACGCCCAGGCGTCGGCGGCTACAGGGCGTCGCTTGGGCGTCGGTTAGTGGGGGAGGGGGGCCTTGGAAGGTTGAAGGGGGGTGGGAAGTGGGAATGGAAAGAGAAGTAAGGAGAAAAAAGGTAAGTCAATTAGAGAGGTCCTTGAACGGTGTATAGTCTGCCCGGGAGACGATCCATGACAGTTATGATTGTGTCTGTCACTTTTATATATATATATATATATATATATATATATATATATATATATATATATATATGCCCTATATATATATATATAAAGAATAGTCCAAGCTCTCTTACTTCCTAAAATACAGGGCGAATCTGACATGCATTTTGTGATCCCCTTTGTATCATAACTTATCGAAAAGGTGAAAACGGTCTCCCGTACAGTTTTTCACGTAGAATGCAGTGACGTAACTATTTCTTTGTTGGAATCTGTCTTTTTTTAAATTGACTAAAACTTATATGTTTTTTTAAATACGATATTTTGTATATTATTTTATTTTCCTTGTTACGAGCTTTCTAAAATACTTATTTTCATAAACGGGGTAAAATGCATTATTTAACTTTTATTACATAGTCGGCCGGTTTAAATTAGGTAATCAAACAATCAACTAATTTATTCGACGTAAAATATTGGTTATTGGCATGTTATTTAAAAGCAGCACAAGTTCAGTTTCCGTGTAGTTTATCAAAATATCACGATGCAAAGCAAAATTATCTGGTAAAATTAATTCCAATAAAATAAGAGCCGTTTAGCAGTTTAGCAGTACCTAAATAAATAAATATAGAGTATATTATAATTTTCGAAAGCTCATAACAAGGCAAATAAAATAAAAAATAATATATAGAGTGTCCTGTTTAAAAAAAAAGAACATATGTTTGAGTCATTTTTCGAAGTAGACAGCTCCCAATGAAGAACCACTTTCGTCACTGCCATTCTACCTGAAAAACGAGACACGGCTGGTGGGTAAGTACTCAATAGGTAGAACAAAACAAAAAATCAGGGTATCCGGTACATACCTGTACATTTAGATGAACAGTCTAATTTTATAAAAGGTTTGGTTTGGTTTGGTTTGGTTGATTTCCAACGACCGCATAGTAAATACCCGATATAATACCAGTAATGTCAGGAATACGAGTATATCTACAATATTTCTTATATATATTTATATTATATATATATATATATATATATATATATATATATATATATATATATATATATATATATATATATATATATAGCAGTATATATATATAATATATATATATATATATATATATATATATATATATATATATATATATATATATATATATATATATATATATATATATATATATATATATATATATATATATATATATATATATATATATATATATATATATATATATATATATATATATATATATTTCTATTCCCGGTATTATACCGGGTATTTACTATGCGGTCGTCGGAAACTCCTTTTATTAAAATTAGGATGTTCATCTAAATCTACAGGTATATACATATATACCCGGATTTTATTTATCTAAAAATTGGGTTCTTACCCACCGCCCATCACTGACCCTTTTCACCTTTTCGATAAGTTATGAGATAATCGAGATACAAGGTTATCGAAAAATGCAAACATTTCTACTAATTAAAAAAAAAGTAAAGAAAGAAATAAGAAATATCTTTGAATCTGCTAGAAGGCTAGGATAAATACATATTTATCCTAGCCTCTTAGTTCAAAAGTTATTTCTTATTTCTTATCTAGCATATTTAGTTTCATAATAAGTAGAACAATGATGTGAAAACAGCATCTTTATATCTCTACTCATAAACCAGAAACCCCATAAAACACACACAAATGGGACATCCTGTACATCTAGCAATCGCCAGTCGATATAAAAATAATTCACACACAATAGTTTAAAAAATGGAAGAGAAAAACAATATTGTCTTCATATTTGTGAAAAAATGCATGTCCATATTTATGTAATCGTAGCGACAAAAATAAAAAATAGAAATAATGTGCATGATGCCTTTACAAAAATATCTGAAGAAATGGGGATTGACATCATTAACGTTTAATTAGTATGTCATATTTCATGGTTTCGATATAAATGACATAATAAACTTTACTCTATTGTTGACTCGCCTTGTACATTCATACTGATATACCTTGTACATGATACTGAAATATTCGGATTTATTAAAAAAAATATATTATTAAAATTCAATTTTTATTTTTGACGCGACAAAGAATTGCAGTTTTATAAAATAAAAATTATGCGCCTTTCGGATTTTTTAAAAATTTTAGAGGTTACTAGATATTTCGTATTAAACATGTAGCTGCTATATTAAAATATTTTGTGGTGTGTTGTTGCATAACTGCCTAATTTCCAAGCATCGAATGGACGAGGGAAGGAAGCGAAGGGACGAAGGAACGCGAGGAAGTAACGTGAGGAAGTAAGGTGAGGAAGGAGCGAAGTGTGAGTATGGGGCTTTAGGGATAAGATTTTTATCTGTATATATATAGTATACCTAATCTGTGCTATTACGCTGTACTTTTTGAAATATGTCCTTCAAATCCTTCACTTTAATAACAACTGTTAGTAAGACACACTGTTTTTTTCTGCTTTTTTTAGTAATTATACGATTATGTGGGAACCTTTACAGGAAATATAACCCATTCATTATAACACTAAAAAATACCTTCAAAACGACAAGAATACAAAATATCACCTATATCCCGTCATGCCTCTAACTTTTACTTATTTCAACAACTGCAATTTATCCTCCAAATAGTCCATCACTCATTTCTATCTCGTCGCGTCCATTGTCTGGGGAAATGGCGTCTTCCTATGCATACAAATGTCCGTTTCGGGCTGTTTCCGCTAATTGGATGGGTCGCGCTAGATGGCGCTTTCGAAGAGTCGTCTGACGTAGGGAGGGGTGCAACCAGGCAATACGTCGGACTAGTGTCGTCATAGAAAGACGTAAAATTGACGGAAACGACCGATTTTGTTAATTGGTTCGCGAAATTACTATAGCCAGGCGTTGGTACGAAGTAACCAAGGAACGGTTAAACCGGAGATGATATAGATTAAAGTGGTTAGACTCTTAACTCAAAGGTTTTCTATTATATTTTATGTTCTTTGAGCGCTTGATTTAATTTCCTTTAGATTTTGAAGAGTATATGTATCTCTTGTCTATTAAATAAAATAATTTCTTTCTTTAAAAAAAATTATGCTTAATCTATGGCCTGTATAATAAGCGCCACTATACAAGTTTTATTACGGAAAAGGCCAGTATTGAGTCTGAAATTCAGC